TTTCATATTTTTAGTATATTTTTCATTTTAATAGCTTTTTAATATGTTTAGTTTGATATCCAATTTTGTAGAATTTCTTTTAGGACCTTCCTTTAGTCTTTTTAACTCATTCTTTTTGGTGTGATTAGATATTGAATCATAGTTCCCCATAGGACTTAATTCTTGTTTTTTAGATTAAAATTTGATTAGATTAATTAGGTTAGCATTAGGGTATCCTAATTAGGGTTTAGGTTATGCATAGGTGAGGAAATCCATTTTCTTTAGATAGTTTCGTCTTGATTTTTTTGGGTAGGGGCATATATGGATGTTGTGGGTAGATGTTGTAGACCCTTATGAATAATGGATAGATTTTTCCCCATTGGTTTAGTATTTTTAGGTATTTTCTGAAGTTGACTGATGATTTTGTCTGTTCTGTGGTTATCTGTTCATCTCTGGGGTTTATTTTGGGGAATTTGTTATAGGGCTTAGTTTGTCTTGAAGATCTTGTTGGAGAGCATGATGGAAGAGAAGATTGTAGATCAAGACTCAGAGACCCAGAGCTTGGATTATTCCCTGTCTGTGAGGTTTGAGATCCTGAAGTTTGAAGGAAGTTCATGGTACTTTCCTGAGGAAGGCACTATGAATGACTTTCATTCTTTCTTCTCACCTCTTTCTCAAGTATCCAATGATGTTGGAGCCAACTTGTGAGTTTAATTTCTCCTGAGGAGGAATGTAAACTAATCACATGTTGTTGAGCCACATGGGATACAATTCCTAAGTGGAAACCTCCTAGTACTTTCTTGAGGAAGGTCCTATGGGTCCATTCACTTAGTTCCCTCAGTTTATCTAGGATTTCTTAAGTATCCAATGATGTTGGAGCCAACTTGTGAGTTTAATTTCTCCTGAGGAGGAATGTAAACTGATCACATGTTGTTGAGCCACATGGGATACAATTCCTAAGTGGAAGCCTCCTAGTACTTTCCTGAGGAAGGTCCTATGAGTCTGTTCATTTAGTTCCACTAGTTCAGATAGGATTTCCTAAATATCCAGTGATGTTGGAGCCTGCTTGTGAGTTTAGTTTCTCCTGAGGAGGAATGTAAACTGATCACAGTGGTTGAGCCACGTAGGATATGATTCCTGAGTATACACCTCCTAGTGCTTTCCTGAGGAAGACACTATGAGTCTGCTTACTTAGCTCCCTTTCTTTGATAAGCTTGTTCTGAAGCTTGAAGACTGGGATTGTTTTCTTTTGTTTAGGTTTTGCTTTAGGGCTTTGCTTAGATTTGATCAGGATTCAGATTCTGTGTTAGGGTTAGGATTAGAGAGTAGATGATTCTTTCTCCAGCATGTGTTTTGTTTGCCTGATGGCACTTCATTTCTTTTATCTGTTCATTGCTTGATAGCATGTTGTTTATCTTCAGTATGATTACTATTATTTCATGATTGGCTTGAGGTTGAGATGAGCTTGTGGAGGCTGAAGCCCCACACACATTTCCTCCCTCACTTGCATTGCATGCATTTTACTGTTAAAGCTGATGCTTTTGTCTGTTTTGGTGTATCATTGGCATGATCCCTTAGGACTCTCATTTCCTTTGATAAGGATTTGATGATAGACTTTTAGGTTGAAACATATGCATGACAACATCTAGGAGTTCCCTGTTCAAACCTCAACCATAGGATGAGTCCATGGCATGACAACAGTAGGACTTGATAGTCTCCCTCCTAGTTGGGCCTACTCTCTTCTCATCTCAAAGCAGTTTAAGATACAGTAATCATGAATGATTCCTTTCGTACGTTACGAGCCTTAAGCTATCTGAGATTGGATGTTTAGTATGGTACCCTTTGGGTGACATGCGACGCATTCACTCTCAGGTCATGGTCTCTAGTGCGGTTGAGATCGCAAATACAATAAAAAACACTTCTTTTAGGAGATAACCCGTAGTTAGCCGAACTACGTTTGCTCTGATCTTTCATACCAGATGAAAGTACGTAGGCATAGAATGCGATATCCTAGCGAGCAACCTTCAACCTTTCCCCCATAACCCGTAGTTAGCCGAACTACGTTGACTCTGATTTCTCATTCTCTGATGGGAATACGTAGGCATAAAGTGCGATGCTTTGCCGAGTCATTTTTCTTTTCTGTTTCAGCCAGCCTCGATAGGTAGATAGATTATAACCAACCCATCCAAGTAAACAAACAAGCGAGGATCCCGTCGAGTACGACGGACGTGAGGGGTGCTAATACCTTCCCCTTGCGTAACCGACTCCCGAACCCAAACAATGGTTGCGATGACCTTGTCTTACCCTTTTTCGTCAGGTTTTTCCGATCGTTTCCTTTCCCGCTCTGAGGGATAAATAACGAAAGGTGGCGACTCTTCTGTCATGCCGGCACCTTATTTTCGCGCAAGCGACAGAAACCTCTTAATTTTCTTACTATATTGACTTCTAATTTCATTCACAAAAATATCATTATTTGTGATGGTGTATAAATCTACCCCAATAGACCGACTAAACCCTGTCTTTTCTTAGAAGAAAACTATAAGTTGATTCTTTATAATCTATGAAGTATGCATGGCATCCTTCAATATTAAAGTCTTTATAGAGGTGGACTCTGCTTCACTTCTCTAATACCAACAACATTAGTGGTGTGGGAACTCCCAATGACACTTTTATATTAGTGTATGTTTTGAATATTACACAATCATAACAGACACAACGAGATGACTCGATGTCTAACCACCAACCATCAATTTACCAATCATGTTGATTTCAGTGATTAAAGCAATAAATTACTCATCAGTTAGGTTGACCTGTGCAATAGGGGCAACACAAGGTTTAAGTCTGATCTTACATTTCTTAATCATATGATCTAGTTTTCTCCAATTGAATAAAGAAAAAAATACCAGTGTCATTTCTTTATAGTGGTGGTTGTTGCCTATCAATTGGAGTACATGAGGCCTTTAAAGGGTTCTCATTCTTAATTCAGTTCACAATATTGTGGTTCTGATTTTTTAATCATTTTCCAAACGCCTTTAGAACCACACCAAATTTCTTTTTGTTGTTTGAAACAACCAAGACTTTTATTTTTAATCTTGTCTCTGATATTCTTATTCAACTCGAAGGCGAATAATCATACTCTCAATTAAAATTATTTTGTTTTGTGGCGAAGCAAAATTTATAAAACTTTCAAACTAAGGGGCAATTTTTCAATAATAAAAGCAATTTGAAATTATTCTTTTAAAGACATAACTTCGGTGATGATCTCATAAACAAACTTTTGAAGTTCATAACATTGAGCCTCCACGAACCTTTCATTTATACTATTTGATACTTTAGGTAGCAGCTAACAACATACTTCTTTGCTTCAGCTTCTTCGTGTCATACTTTCTTTTTTAGAGTCTCTCAAACCTATTTTGGGGTATTGCAGTTATTGTGATAATCATACAAATCATCTACGAGTCTATTCAAAATACGATAATCATTCTCTTTTCAAAGGGCGATTTATTTCTTGAGTTGAAAGTCGTTCGCTTTAATTTGTGCAGCAGATTCAACTTCAATAGAATTAACAGTTCCATATAAATCCACAAATTTCTTGTCATTAGTTTGATCAGTTAATATAGAAGAAGCAACAGGAGTGTCATCATTCAAACTTTGGCAACCTTTTTAAGGTTAATAAAAATCACAATTTTCGTTGCTAGCGTTTAAAGTGATTTCTCTCAAACTTGGACGATTTATCAGAGACAACGACAAAATTACCAATAACTTCTTAAGTAGTCATGGCAGTTTTAATCATCTTAAATTTATTATTTTTCAGTTTTGAAAAATGTTGCCACTGAAAAAATTATCGGGTCAATTTGCGAACTAGATCAATCTCTTTGACGTTTCACAATACTACCCAAAATTATTCAAAGCATTCAAACTACCGGGGCGCCTCCAAGATAAAAAAACTCAGTTATATGTTGTATGATTACTAGTTGCACGATAGATAATCGGTCTAAAAATACACCCTCTGATGGTACAAAAACCATTCGAGTATGGTATAAATATCATTCTTAGTATTTTGTATGACGATCAGTCGTAATAATTTCTCAAACAAGCAAAATAAATAATTCTTCAAAGAAAATCCAAAAACTTAATACTTGTAACTTCTTAACTCAAACGAGGAGAAACTAATATAACTCTCTAAAGAGAATTCAAGAAAATATTCAAAAAATTCAATGAATAAAAATAAAGGGGAAGAAGTTGGCGCTTCGATAATTCGAAAGATGGGTATTTATGAGAGTGAGGAAGAAAAAACTCAATAAAAGAAATTTTTGGTGTGTTTTAGAATGAAATAATAAAGTATATATGCTTTATCCGCTTAGTATTGATAAAAAAATATTTAAAAAAAAGTTTTTCAAAAATTTTATTATTGCCTATCAGACTTTTCAAATGTCCAGAACTTTTGGTTCATGCCAAATTTTTTGGTTTATTTTATTCTTAGTTTTTTTTCAAATATTTGGTAACTACTTTCTAAATTTTTTAGAAATCCGAAAATTCTTCACAGAAAAAAAATTCAAAAAACCTTAATCTTTTTTACCAACAATTTTACAAATGTTAAACATTTTTGCACACTTTTACAAAATATTCGATAATTTTTCAATAAATCCAGCAATTCTACTTTCAAATAGGAAATTTTATGAAATTTCCAATAACGGCATGAAAAATCTAAAATTTAACAACACTTTTTCAAAAACTAGTAATTTATAACAATAACAAAAGCGTAATCACGGATGTCAAATACAACTTGGGGGTGGCAGAAGATTTCTCCTAAATGGGCTTAAAAGAACAATGTGTAAAGAAGAAAAACCCAAACCCCAAGCCCAATAAATTGGTATCCGAAAACCCTACATCAGAACCCGAAAACATGGAAGAGTTTTATATATACACAAAAGGTTAGGGTTTAACGTTTCCTGGCCATTGTTGCTACTGTTCTGTAATCTCAGCCGTCACCAGTTGCTGTTATCTGCAAACAGTGAGCAATGGCGGTTGGAAAGAACAAAAGGATCTCCAAGGGGAAGAAGGGTGGAAAGAAGAAAGCGTTAGTACCTTTTTCACATTTTCCTTTGCATTTTGCTTTCACATTCAATTCCGTCTTTTGATCTCTTTGGTTTCTCTGAATTTGCAGAGCTGATCCCTTTGCAAAAAAGGATTGGTATGATATCAAAGCTCCTTCAGTTTTCCAGGTGAAAAACGTTGGCAAAACCCTCGTTTCTCGTACTCAGGGAACTAAGGTATTATCCTCATCCTTATAATGTTTATTTTATTTTATTTGGTTTGATATGTACATTGTTAGGTAATTGTTGAATCTGCATTATAGTAATTATATTGAGAAAACATAGTATAAAGTTAACCAGTGTAGTTGCTACATAGTATTGGGTTTTTATATTGTGTTTCGGTTTTATTGAATCTTAAGGATGTCCTGATGTTTGGTCTTTCATGTGTTAGATTGTTGTGCCATTAAAATTTTGTATACTTAAATATAAAATTGTTGTTTTTTAATGACACAGATTGCTTCAGATGATGTTTGGTCTTTCATGTGTTAGATTGTTGTGCCATTAAAATTTTGTATACTTAAATATAAAATTGTTGTTTTTTAATGACACAGATTGCTTCAGATGGACTCAAACATAGAGTGTTTGAGGTTTCTCTAGCTGATCTCCAAGGGGATGAGGAACACGCATTCAGGAAGATTAGGCTAAGAGCCGAGGATGTTCAAGGGAAGAATCTCTTGACAAATTTCTGGGTATGATTGTTTGCTGCAGCTATTTTTTATGGTTATATTGTTGTTAGTTGTTATTGTTATTAATCTTTTATTTTAATTTACAGGGGATGAATCTCACCACTGACAAATTGAGGTCGTTGGTGCGTAAATGGCAAACGCTAATTGAAGCCCATGTTGACGTGAAGACATCTGACAACTACACTTTGAGGATGTTTTGCATTGGGTTTACTAAGAGGAGACCTAACCAGGTTAAGAGGACCTGCTATGCTCAGTCCAGCCAAGTTAAACGGGTATATAATTTCGAAGTCATTCTTTTCAGCGCATATTTTTGGTTGAGCTTTTTGATATATTAAGAAGGGATAAATGGGTTTAAACTTGGGATTATGCTTTGTTTTTTCTAAGATATTGCTTGTTACTAGTAATTTAAATAGGCCTTTATTTTTTCAGATCCGTAGGAAGATGAGAGAAATCATGACCAACCAAGCATCATCCTGTGATTTGAAGGAATTGGTCAGGAAGTTCATTCCTGAGATGATTGGAAAGGAAATTGAGAAGGCTACATGTGCTATTTACCCATTGCAGAATGTGTTCATTCGAAAAGTGAAGATCCTTAAAGCTCCCAAGTTTGATCTTGGAAAATTGATGGAGGTATTGTTTTTTGAATTCATACTTCTATAGTTTTCTCTTCCTTACCTACTTGCTCCATCTACTATACTTTAAGCGTTTAGGTTTGGCTGTGATTGTTTAATTACAAGTTTTTATTGTTCTTCATTCCATTCTATCGTAGCATGAAATTACAATTTTCACTAATACAATTTTTGCTACTTGATTTTTGGGTCTTGCAGGTTCATGGAGATTACTCTGATGACATTGGCACAAAGGTAGACAGACCTGCTGAAGAAACAGTTGCAGATGAACCTACTGAAATTGTTGGAGCTTGATTTACTGTTAATGTCTTTTTGTTTGATTTAGTTTTCCTTTTACTTATGTTTTTGAGTTATAGTAAGTTTAAACTTAATCCAATCTTTTAATTTAAGCAGAGCACACCACATTTTTTGACTCAATAATTTGTCTGGATGCTGGGAAAATTTGTATCAACAATTAAACTTATTTATACACATTTTGAATCTATCACAACACATTAGTTGACATGTTCGAAATCAAATCAAACTTGAAAATCTTTTGATAAAACACTAAACATAACCATACTCTGCTTTTTCCTTTAATGAAGATGTATTTCCTGAGAATTCCTCTCTTAAAACCAGCTTTTTCCAACACCCTTTGAGAAACCACATTTTGGACATCACTCTTCCTTTGGTTTTGTCTGCACTTTTCCATCTCTGTTGAAGTCTCCCTGCTCAAAGACGCAACACTCCTCGATCTCTTTTGTAAGTTTATGTTCCATCAAGATCTTCACTTTATCTTTTAACCGTTTTGTATTTGGTGTTGTATCCCTTTTTGTTGCCTCTCTTCGTTGTCTCCATTTTTGTTGGGAAATCTTGCAAGGTCATCTTAATGACGTTCAGTTTTTGCGCGTCCGATGCAAGTCTCTCCAATAGCTGTCCGATGCAAGTCTCTCCAATAGCTTTCTCCTATGCGCGTCTGATGCAATTGACCTTTTATGCTTCTCAACATCTAAAGCTTGTTAACACTTAATTCCTTTTCTGCTTCCAATTCTGAAGAGGTGTTAATACATCTTCTTGAATTGTTCTCTGACTTATTGCATGTAACAATATCCTTGGTTGGATTGGAATTTCTTTTCGTTGCTTCATGAAACATTGAATCGTCATCAAAATAATCATGTTTCTCTGGTTGGATCGGGTTTCCTTTTCGTTGCTTCATGAACCATTAAACTGTTGTCAAAGCAATCATGTTTCTCTGGTTGGATCAGAATTTTTTTCCGTTGCCTCATGAACCATTGAATCGTCATCAAAGCAATCATGTTTCTCTGGTTGGATCGAAATTCCCTTTCCATTGAACCGTCAACAAAACAATCATGTTTCTCTACTCCAATCATGTTTCTCTGGTTGGATCGAAATTCCCTTTCCATTGAACCGTCAACAAAACAATCATGTTTCTCTACTCCGCCGTTCAAAAGTTTCACAAGCATGCAAATTTTCACTCCCATTGAAGATACATGACTGCTACAACTTCTTTCTCTTCAATATTTCAATTTAAATTTCTGCTTTGCTTGCATGTTCATCAAGGCCTTCAGATGCATAAACTCTTTTTTCAATTCAGATAAACTCTCCAAACTCTTCTTATACTGAAAAAGGATAAAATCTTTGTCAAGCTCTACTACATCTGTTAGATTTTTCCATAAGGCTTCAAGTTTAATTTTTGCTCTCCCCGCATGCTCAGAGTCGGCCTCAGAATTATCTTGGACCTTCACATTCTGTTTTTCAGTCAATAATAGGGAAAACCCAAAGATCTCATTCAGCTACTTTAGACTCCTTTTGCTTAGACCTAACACATATTTTTGTTCGTTTACTTGATCAAAAAATGTACGAATTGGCTACGACATTTTAGGCGTGTGAGGCTCACCCTCAGGGTCGAAGAACTATACGGTGAATCATCATTCAACAAAATATGTTCTTGGTTGGGAAATGTTTCTGCCATTGTTCTATGAGTCTGACGTAGCTACCCCGTTGCATGATTGTATCTCTCCGCTAACACACGATATGCAGGTAGAAACCCTCAACTAATTTCATGAGTTTCGGCCGCTTTTTATAGTACATCTCTGCCATTCTCGCAAACAAGTCTGCATCCTCTTCAATAAGCTTGATCATTGATTTGACTTTCGCATCCATATCGGTCAAAAACACATAAAATCATCTCTTAAACGCTACAAAACCATACAACTTTGCAAATAACAACAAGAAAGTTAGTTTCTATATAAACATGGATGAATGTCATTCCCTGCTCAATTGAACACGACTTCAATATCTCGTTGTTCCAAATATAATTGTATGTTCGAGCAACCCCAACAATTCAAAATCAAGATGACGGTATAAAAAAAAAAAAAAACACACTTTAAAGCAGAGAATTTTTTACTCAAATTTTCAAAAAAAAATCTCAAAATAATCTATTTTTTTAGTGTATTTCTCAAAGTAGCCCACTTTAGGGGTGAGATTGAGTGTTAACGCCAACTCAATTAGCGACTACTCATTGCCCTTAAAAGGTGTCGCCAATTTGATTGGAGACACCATATGATGTTGTCAATCCAATTGGAGACAATGTGTTAAATTAGAAGGGTGTCGCCGATTGGTTTGTAGACACAATGCAAATAAATTTTTAAACATAAATAATTAACATTAATATTTAATTAAAAATAATATTACATAAATTAATGATGACGATCAGGTTGGTCATACCGGCCACTAGTTCCACATCTCCTAACTACCCTTACTCGTTACCCTCGTTGATTCATTTCAGGTGTTTGAGGATTTGAGGTCTCAGGAACATCCCCAACATATTCCTTAAGAATTTCTTGCATTTCGAAGAAGTATTGAGTGTTGAAATTGAGTTCGTGACCCATGATAAAGTAGTTGGGATGTGATGAAAGGGTCATTGGTGTGCGGCCCGAACGAATGAAGGAGGACATTGGTGTGAAAGACTCATTGGTGAAAGGTTGAAATGGTAGTGGTGTTTGAAAGCCATAAGGTTGTAGTGATATTTGTGTATGTCGGCTATGGAGTGATGTTTGAGTGTTTTGGCTATGGAAAAATGTTTGGGCGTTTTGTCTATGGTACGATGTTTGGGTGTTTTGGCTATGGTACGATGTTTGGGTGTTTTGGCTATATTTTGATGTTCTGTAGGGGGCATATGCATTTTGGGTGTCTTGATAATAGTAATTTTGTTAGAGATGGTATGAGGGACGCTCTTGGTATTGTGGTTGGGTGTTTGACATGTTTGGATTGTGGCTTTGTGTGTTTGTGGATCGGGTAATTTTGTTGGGTAGGGGTTGTGAGTAACAGGTACGATAATTTCCTCGTGGGTTAGACGTTGAAGGTTCTTGTGTGTAGGTGGTTTGTAGTGGGTTGTATAGATACCCCTCTTCAGAGACAAACCCTGTTGTAACCGATTTGTACTAAGCCATATAATTATTAGTTGGTATATACGGGGTTGCCATCACCGGGTCACATAAGACATGGGCGCGACAGTTCCTCCATTTACGACACTCAGATTTAGGAAAAATTTTCAAATCAGGATAGTTCCATTGTTCAATAATTTTTTGTAGATGCCATTTACTGAGGGCAATCAGAGGATCTGAGATGTTTTGATGCATTCAAAACTGTAGTTTGACATAGCCACTATGATGCATCTCCGCAGTGGTGAATCTGATAATCAGCACACATGCAATTCAAAATTTTGTTTTAAAATTTTCATATTTTTACTATAACGTTTTTAAAAATATAACTTAATAAAATTATTCTTTAAAATATATTTTAAAAATAATTATGTGGTTTTAACATAATTGGAACAAAATTTCAAAGTGTTGTTTCAAAAATTTAATATTTTTACTATAACGTTTTTTAAAATGTAACTTAATAAAATTATTATTTTTAAATTATTATGTAATTTTAACATTAATTGGAACAACATTTCAAATATTGTTTTAAAATTTTCATATTTTAACTATAACATTTTTAAAAATGTAACTTAATAAATTTATATTTTTAAAATATATTTTAAAAGTAATTATGTAATTTTAACATTAATTGGAACAATATTTTAAATATTATTTTAAAAATTCCATATTATTACTATAATGTTTTTTAAAATGTAACTTAATAAAGTTTATTTTTAAAATTATTATGTGATTTTATCTATGAGCCAATTTATAAAATAGAAAAGATCTCCTATGAGTATTCTAAGATAAGAGTATGTGGAAAGGATCTCAGATGAGTATGATAAGATGAGAATATGAGATGAGGAACTCAGATGAGTATTCTAACATGACATGATGAGGAAAAAATGATATGAGGATCTCCTATGACTATTTTAAGATGGCAGATTGATATGAGGACATCTTGCGACTATTAAAATATGGTATGAGAACATCTTGTGATTGTTCTAAGATGACAGGATGATATAAGGACAACATGTGACTGTTCTAAGATGACTGATTGATATGAGGACATCCCGTGACTATTCTAAGATGACAGACTGATATGAGGACATCCTTTAACTATTACAAGATGAAATGAGGACATCATGTGACTATTCTAAGATGACAGGATGATATGAGGAAATCTTATGATTGTCCTAAGATTACAGGATGATATGAGGACATTTTCGGACTATTCCAAGATGATAGGATGATATGAGGACATCCTGTGACTATTCTAAGATGACAGACTGATATGAGGACATCTTGTGACTATTTCAAGATGAAATGACGACATCCTGTTAGTGTTCTAAGATGACATGATGATATAAGGATATTCTGTGACTATTCCAAGATGATATGAGGATACCCCGTGACTATTCCAAGATGAAGAGATGATATGAGGATATCATGTGACTATTCCAAGATGATATGAGAACATCATGTAGTTATTCTAAGATGAAAAATTTATACGTGGTCATCTGTTCTAAGATGACAAATTGATATGATGACATTCTGATATTATTACAAGATGATATGATGACATCCTGTGAATATTCCAAGATGACAGGATGATATAAGTACATCCTATGATTGTTACAAGATGGTATAAGGACATCCCATGATTGTTCTAAGATGATAGGATGATATGTGGACATCCTGTGACTATTACAAGATGACAGGATGATATGAGGATATCCTGTGACTATTCAAAGATGATATTTGTCTTGGAACTTGTCTTGACATTTGATTATGTACGTCTTTCTTCAAAAATCCTACCTTATCATACCCCTCGGTAGCATTTACAAATGTACCAATCATCTGAGTTACTTTGATTCCAGCATTCCCCAAATCCTTAATTTGTATTTTATCTGACTTACTAAGCTTCCTATTAGCTGCCAAAACCATGCAGTGCTTCTCCTTTAACATTTCATGATTGTGCTTAAAGGTAAAAACTATGACATACCAAAGATGTGAAATTATATCAATATGCACCCGAAGTTTTGCTCCACATCCACAATGTGTTTCGTGCTTCGGACCATGCTTGCGTTGATATACTCTGTCTTGCCTAAATCCTTCAAGGTTACAAATAAATGTTTGTTGAATAACATCTTCATTCTTATTTTTAATAACTTGACCTTTACGGACCGCATAACCGTTCATCTTTGCAAACCAACAGTAAAATTTGTAAGCAATTTCTAGACTTCCAAATTGTAGCTTCGAAACTTCTCATTTTACAAGTTAAACATGTCCATTTTTGCAATGTCGTCAACATCATCAACAACAAATGATTCGTCTGGAATTTGATATGAAAATATCGATTCATTCAAACTGTCTGAACTTCATTCCAAAATTTCCTCATCACTTCCATCATTGTTTGCATCTTTATTTCAATATTCGTGTCCACCAACATCACAAAAACCGATTTCGTTATCGTATTCACCTCCATCAAATTCATCATCTTCACACGTATCTTCATCATCGTATTCACCTCTGTCAAATTCACCATCTTCATCCACTTTTTCATCATCGTATTCAACTTCTTCAAACCCAAAATCTTCATCAACAACTGCATTATCATATTCAACAATATCCAAGCATTCATCACTAACAATATCTAGTTCACCATCAAAGTTAACACGACCATTCTCATGTAAAATTCCATCGAGTGCTTCCTAAAAAATTATAAATAACTAAATCAATAAATCAGCAACAAAATGGGTTACAACCACAAAGTATGATTGTTCAAAAATTTCATTTGCATAGTTAGTTTGCATCACTTCATGCCCATCAACATCACCCAATCCATCTTCGATTCAATATCCCTCTAATTGCCATCAGATATAACCATTTTCAATTAATTTTTGACTAAATCTACAATAATTACAACAAGGAAGAATATAGATCCATTTTAAACTCAAATTAAAAACTTACCTTTTTGATTCATAAAAAAGAGTTTCAAATTCAGAAGAAATCATAGGGAAGAAATGAGAAAGAAATCATAAGAAAAAATTTAAGGACCGAAAATGGAAGAAACGAAAATGCAATAAATGATGAAGAAATTCTTCTTCTCTAGTTGCAAATGAGGACATAGAACATGGAAACTAAAATTCCTCTTCTCAAGTTGCAAATGGAGACATGAAGATGATATCATGACATTGGATAAGAAGTGTACTTTTGATTCCATAGTTGATGAGTATGATAGTACATGGGGTGATACTCAGCATACCAATCCAATGGTTTCTATTGATTTGAAAATAAAACAAGGTCTCTCACGTGATATACCTATATGCTCCCCGCGCACAGAAGATGGCACCAAAAAAACAGTGACATGACATCAAAAGAAAAGACAGTGGTCTGTTCATAATATGAGCTACGAGGAAGACATAAACATTGGAAAACCTCAACAAAAGTACGAACTTCAAAGAAATGCAAAATGAAACTTAAAACGAGATCCAAAACTTACCAAGTGAAGGTGAACACCGATCAACAACATCTAAAGTGAAGAACATAAAAAAAAAGTCAAATGAGTATGAAGAGAATCACAAAAAGCTCAGTCCAGCCAAGTTAAAATGGTATATAGGCTGATGTTTTTGTTTTAAAATCACATGAATATTTTAGATACATGTGTTATCGTATACAACATGGTATCCAACACATGTTTTAGGTTGCATTTTTCTTCTATAAAATAATGCTATTTGAAAAGAAGAACTTAATGGGTTTGATATCGGGATCATGCTTTGGTTTGATATCGGGATACTGTTCACGTTAATTAAAGTTGTAAAAAATTAATTAAAATTATAATGGTTATAAAATGTGTGATTGGATGATTGGTTAATTAGTTAGATTCAAATAACAATTATATAATATACAGTACACGCGCAATTTCATATATTACTATATATTAGTTTTAGTTATTTGACTATATTTCTATGATTAATCTAAAAAAATTAATTGCTCGACTTGCATTTTTGTTAAGTTCGTAGACATAAACGTTGGCAGAAAATTGTTTCTATTAAATTGATGATTGGGTGATCATACTTTTATGTTACCCTTAACATTATTTTTAAGTGTTATGCTATATTAGGATAATAGGTTATCAAAGACACCTCACTAAACTATGAGAGTATATGGTGGTGAGGAGTTAAGGAATTTTGTTTTGCTTAATTAACTAACTTCTTGTTTCTAGTACTCTGATGGGCTTGGATTCATATCCTATTTATATATTGAATAATATATATTTTATTTTATTGAATTGTTGCATGCTAAATAGTTTATATTATATATAAAATAAATTAATTATATAATAGTATATTACTTTCTATTGAAGTGACATTGTTGAGAATAAAATTTATTGGAAATACTATATTGTTTAAGTTTATGATTGGTTCATGATTTTTTTTAAGAGAAATTTAATTTTTATGCAAGAAATTCTATAAATTATTGTGTGTGATTACCACTAAAGTGAGATCGCTCATTTTAATTTATAAAAATCTCTTTGTAGTTTGAGGAATGGTTTTAAGTCATTACTGTGATTGTCTTCTCAAAGGTAGACAATTGTATGTAGAGATTGTGGTTGACTAAGGATATAACTATTGGAGATGCTTTGGTCTAAGGGATTTATTTATCCAAAGGAGATAAATTTCTAAACTCAATGTATGCTCGCTGAGTAGCTTATTCTTGAAATTTGTAGATGAAGTTGTTGGAGGTGTTTTGGTTTAGAGAATTTGTCTACCCAAAGGAGATAGAATTTCGAACCTAACGTATACTCATTGAGCGACTCATCCGAGGTTCTGATCTTGGTTGTAACCTGGGTTTTGCGCACTCCACCCAAAGGAAATTGTGTGATAATGTTGGCCTCTTCGTGATAACTTATGTTCGTTAAAGTTATATCTTGTCTTTGTTATTTGTTCTAATGCATTCCAGTTTTGTCTCAACAATGACATTCTCTATAAACAATTGTTATGCTTCTATTGAGATCCTAAATAGGTATAATTTTAAGAAATGGAAGAAAGACTTAGAGTTTTCATTAGGGATTGATGACCTTGACACGGCATTGCGTGAAACCAAACTTGTGATCAATGATCAGAGTGCACCTGAAGAGAAAGAAAAATTAGCTAAGTGGGAGAGGAGTGACCGACTTAGCTTGTGTGCTATGAAGAGGATAACTTCTAAACATCTAATAAGTGCATTGCTTGAGAAAGAGAATTCTAAAGAATATCTTACTGCTATAGGAGAGAGATTTTTGATATCTGACAATGTTGAATATGGATGTTTGATGAAACAACTCACAAAAACCATCCTTGAATGTTGAGAGCTCCATTGCTAAAATAACTAAAATTAGAGAAAAATCCTCTTTGTTGTGGCACAAGCGTCTAGTCCATATCCATAAAGAAAGAGTTGAAAGGTTAATTAGAGATAATATTTTATCTTCTTTAGATTTTAGTGATTTAGGGACTTGTGTGTATTGTATTAGAGGAAAATTTACTAAGACCAATAAAAAAGGTTCGACTAGAGTTTTCAGACATTTTGGAAATCATTCATACAGACATTGACGACCCCCTTTCTCATACTATTTGTGGTAATACATCTTTTATCACTTTCATTGATGATTTTTTTTTGGTTTGACTATCTTTACTTGTTTAAGGAAAAATTAGAAGCACTTGAAAAGTTCAAAATCTTTAAAAATGAGGTTGAAAAGCAACTAGGAAATATGATAAAGGTGGTGCGTTCTGACTGTGGTGGAAAGTATTATGGTAGATATGATTCTACTGGGAAACACATGGGACCTTTTGCAAAATACTCGCAAGATTGTGGAATTGTTCCACAATACACCATGTCTGGTACTCCTAAACAAAACGGTGTAGCCGAAAGGCAAAATCGCACTCTTAAGGATATGATTAAAAGCATGATGAGTAGGTGTAATTTACCAGAATTTTTATGAGGTGGCGCTTTGAAAACAACTCTCTATATACTTAATAGAGTTTCTAGTAAATCAGTTCCAAAAACACCTTTTGAGCTTTGGACAGGTAGAAAACTCAGTTTGAATCATCTCCGTGTTTGGGGTTGCCCTGCAGAGGTTAAAATATATAATTCTTTTGAGACAAAGCGTGACCCAAAAACAAGTCGTGGATTTTTCATTGGATATCCAGATCGATCTAAAGGATACAGATTCTTTTGTCATGGTAGAGGTAATAAAATTGTGGAGTCCATGCATGCAAATTCCTTGAGCTTAATGTTGTTGAGCTTTTTATTACATCTGATAATATTGATTATGTTATGCCTAATGTTGTTACATTGTCACTGCCTAATTTTGATAATGCTAGATCATGCCCTAGTCATGGAGGTTTTTCTCCAAATGAGAATGTGGTTGAACATCCATTTGAAAAAATGGTTGAACCACTTGTTGAAAATGTAATTGATCCTCCTATTATAGGTGAGGTTGCACAACCTGATAAGTTAGTTGAGAAAATTCATGTTAGAAGTTCAATAAAACAAAAGAGACATGTTATCCCTGATGATTTTGTAGTTTATCTTGGAGAGGATGCTTATGATGTTGGTATTGTTATTGATCATAAAAATCATCTAGAAGCTATTACTCGTTCTTAATCTAGTATGTAGACAAATGCAATGCATGATGAAATGAAATTCATGGTAAATAATAATGTTTGGGAACTAGTGGAGTTACCAAAAAACTATAGGGCGATTGGATGCAAGTGGATATTCAAAACAAAGAAGGACTCGAAAGGTAAAATTGTGAGGTTTAAGGTAAGACTTGTGGCTAATGGTTTCACACAAAAGGAGGGCATTGACTTTAATGAAACTTTTTTCTTGTTTCCACTAAAGGCTCTTTTCGAATTGCTATGACTCTTGTAGCACATTTTGACTTAGAGTTGCACCAGATGGATGTTAAGACTGCTTTTCTAAATGGTGATCTTAATAAGGAGGTGTACATGCAGCAACCTGAGAGTTTTATCTCAAGTGGTAATTAGCATTTGGTTTGTAAAATTAAGAAAATATATTTATGGTTTGAAACAAGCTTCCAGACAATGGTACTTGAAATTTGATGAGGTGGTGACTTCATTGGGTTTTGAAGAAAATAAAGTCGATCAATGCATCTATCTTAAGGTCAATGAGAGCAAATTCATCTTTCTTGTGTTATATTTTGATGAGATTTTGCTTGCCATTAGTGATCTTGGTTTACTTCATTAGACCAAACTTATGTTAACCAAGTTCTTTGATATGAAAGATCTTGGTGAAGCATCCTTTGTGTTGGGAATTGAAATACGCATAGATAGATTATGTAGTGTACTTGGCTTGTTGCAGAGAGCTTATATTGATAGAGTTCTGGAGAGGTTTGATATGTAGAACTGTAAGGCAGCATGGTTGTCAAAATCAGGATCTCACTAAAGATCGTTGGGGGTTGAAAAAAGCGTGAATCATAAAATCGTAAATTGGATCATAAGATCCCACCAAATATACAAAATTATACATTTCACTAAAAAAAATTAACATATATTTTTTAATATTAATAAAAACCACATTCTAAATTCTAAAATTCCAAAATTTCAAATAATTAAAAACATCCAATTGATGAAGACATTGGAAAAAAAAGTGTGGTAGAATAGAAGGTATGATGAGAGATCGTATAACTAAAGAAGAAAAGAAGTTGATGATTGAATAGAAATCGTATGATTGATTTATAGATGGAATTGAAGAAGAATAAATGATATCATTTAATAAATTGATATTTTTCAGATTGATTTTTAATTTCTCCCCAAAAATCAGCCTTGTAGATAGCATCAGATTTTGACTTTTAATGATGAAAAACGGATAATTTAATGTGAAACGACTGGTAGAAAAAGATGAACGGGTCACCTTTTTCAATGAGCATTGGACCAGGTCGGGTCAAAACGGGTTGGACAATTTTCCATTGCGAAATAGATCTTCGCTTTCACGTTTTTACAATCTTACATTGTGCTCCTACCGCGCCGCCTTCTCCAGCTATCTTTGTTGCGCTTCGCCGCGGAACATGGTGAAAACTTGTAAGATCTTAAGATCTAACAATTTAAATCTAGATTTTGACAACCATGTAAGGCAGGAGATGTTCCAATTACTAAAGGAGACAAATTCAGTAAAGATCAATGTCCTAAAAATGAGACTGAGCAGGCAGAGATGAAGGGAAAACCCTTTGACAGTGCATTGAGCAGTCTAATGTATGCTCAAGTATGTACTAGGCCTGACACTACTTTCATAGTTGGCATCTTAGGGCGATACTAGTCTAATCCTGGAAATGATCATTGGATTGCTGCTAAGAAAGTGATGAGATATTTGCCGAGAAATAAAGACTATATGCTTGTTTTTAGGAGAGTTGACAACTTGGAAATAGTTGAGTATACTGACTCTGATCTTCCTCGGTTTGATGATGATAGAAAATCTACTTCTGGTTGCATTTTTATGTTCACTGGAGGTGCGATATCATGGAAGAGTAAAAAATAAACTCTTGTCGCCTCTTCTACTATCTAAACAGAGTTTGTTGCTTGTTATGCTGCTGTCAGTCATGCTGTTTCGTTGAGAAATTTAGTGAATGTACTTCGTATGGTTGATTCCATTTCAAAGCCACTAAAGTTTTACTATGATAACAGTACAACTGTATTCTAATCTAAGAATAATAAAACTTCTAGCGGTTCTAAGCATTTGGAATTGAAGTATTTGACAGTCAGAGGCCTTATAAAGAAAAATGACATTGTTGTTGAGTACATTGGTACTGATTTCATGCTTGTTGGTCCCCTAACTAAGGAACTTAGGCTGATTGTGTTCAAAAACCATGTTGAGAGTATGGACATTGTGAGTCTTTTGATGTACTTGGTTAGTGGGAGTTTGTTCTTTATGTTATTTTTTTTATCATGATGTATTTTATTTTGGACACTTTAAGTGTTGGATTTTCAAGTACTTTTAATTTTAAGCAATTGATATTACAATGAATATTGTTATTATTATTTGTCATTGTTTATTTATAAGTCAATTGTTAAAATTGTGACTTAGTGTCATTGGGAGCATAATGCCTATGATCGACATTAGGTTGAAGTTCGACGTATGGTTATAATTTTGAGCTCGACATCTTCGGGACCACTATGTCGGTGGTCGATGTTGTATTGGAGCCGAGGTATGATTTAAAGCTCGACGTTGTCAGGACCACTGTGCCGGTGGTCGACGTAATATTGGAGTTGAGGCATTATGGTTTCTAAAACCATGCAATTTCTTTGGCTTTAATGCATTTGAGAGAAATTGTTAAGGACTGACAAAGAAAATAGTAGTTGGTTGTTGGATCATATTAACATGTTATTTTCTTGCTACACTCCACACTGATGACTAGTTGACGGAGTCCGTGGTATTTGTAACCACATAAGGTTTTATGTCAATGAATGATATAATAATCGTCGTGATTCAATATTGCTTGACTTTTGTTGGATGGAGTCATATTCAGATATTGCACCTGAAATCATGAATTCCCTTAAAATGCGACATTTTAAGGAATTAGTCATTAACCCGAGAGTCATTTTCAAAATGTATTTTAAAATAATAATCATACAATTGATTTTGCCCAAGTGAGAGAATGTTATATTTATCTAACTTTTTATGAGTTACAATCAATTGTTGTTTAGTTTGTGAAAAACGGGTTAATCGTGATTCTAATGGGGGTGCATATATAAGCTCTTTTATTAGTTAAGTGATCTCTTTTAACTGAAGGCTGAGTATTTAAAACCTGATTGGTGTGGGCAAAAGTGTGGGTTTTAACCTTGGGCCCATAATGGGTAGGGACTAGGGTTATATATATATTATATGGCTAGGTTCCCTCTGTAATCACAAAAGAATCAGAAACATAACTGACGGCTCCACAACTTGCCCCATTGGGAGTTGTGAATGAGATTCTGAATCATGGGTGTGAGATACATAATGAGTGTGAGGTATAGAGGAAGATTCGGTCATTCATCCTTTTGGAATTCCGAATCATGACTTTAACAAATAAGTATTGATGTTTTAATTTCATATAATCGATTAATAAATATTTCTGCTTACACTTCATTGTGTTAGCTTTGAAAGGGTGGATTTAGTCTCACATTGCTTAGTGATATGGTATGTATTGTGTTTATAAATGAGGACTACTCTCATTTTACAAGCCGGTTTTGTAGAGATGAGTTAGTCTCAATTCAAATTCTGAGAACTGTTAATATTTTTGTTTGATTAAGATTTCCTGTTACTTGTGTTTTTGAGTTAAATAAAAACTATACACTTTTTTTACTCAATAATATGTCTGGATTATGCTTATGCTTGTTATGAATATGCTGTGAAAATTTGTATCTTCAATTAAACTTATTTTTACATTTTCGATATCATAACACAATAGTTGACATGTTTGAAAACAAATCAAACTTGAAAATCTTCTGATAAAACACTAAACATAACCATATTTCTGCTTTTTCCCTTAATGAAGAGATATTTCCTGAGAATTCCCTCTCTCTGAAAACCAGCTTTTTCCAACACTCTTTGAGAAGCGACATTTTCGACATCAACTCGAGATTCAAGCCTCTCCAAGTATGAAAACTCTTTAAATGCCGCTCTAATCACTTGTCTCACAACGAGTGTTGCAATTCCTTTGCTCCAATACTTAGAGCTCAGAGCATAGCCAAGTTCAGCAGATTTGTCCATGCATCTACCTGAACACGACCGGAGATCGATGCATCCGATTGCACGATCTTGGAGGCAAATTGCTCTGAACCATAGAGACTTGCTTGCTATGTTTTGGATGAAGTTGATGCCATGTTCTTTGTTTGTATAAGGCTCCCAAGTGCAATACTTTGCCACTTTTTCATCACTGGTCCACAGCATAAGATCATCAAGATCAGAAAGAACAATGGGTCGAAGAGAGATTTGGGTTAAATCAACTTCAACACACTCTTCTTTAGCATCAGATTTAGAAAAACTTGTAAATCCTTCCATAGTGTGTTGTTTGGCTTTGATTGAAGACTAGATGTTTAAATCATGAAGCCATTCTTAAAACAGGTTTATTATTTTTTTAACAATTTCATAGTTATACTTTCGAATTTGCAAAAGTCAAAAACTATTTTATAAATACTATATTCACTTAATATTGAAGAAAAAGAGTGCAAAAACTGATTTATTTTCTGATTCATGCTTTGATAAGAGTGTCACACATAAGTACTCCTCAGCTAAAATGTAACTCAGTACAAGTTTTTCTGAAAGCTAAAAACATAAGAGATCTGAAATAAGTTTTACCATGATCATTTAAACACTAACCTTAAGCTTAAGCTAAAACTAAGAATTGATAGCTAGATTAGAATAGAAAATCTCAAGTAAAAAAAGCACTTTACAACATAGAGAGACTATATTTACTTAGTCTTCATTAGCTGAAGTCTTTGAGGATCCACAGAAACACCCTTTGTTGTGCTTTTTGCTACTACTCTTCTTTCCGATGTGAATAAAATCCCTCAGAAACACCACTGTTTTTCCTGAGAATTTGTTCTTCTTCCCTGTGTTCTTCTTTTCATCACTCAATTTCAGCATAACATAGTGCATGTTTTGAACCTCGAACTGCAATCGTCCTATCTCTTCTGAACCTTTTCGCGCCTGCTCCATCACTCTTTTCCTTTGGTTTTGTCTGCTCTTTTCCAGCTCGGCTGAAGTCTCTCTGCTCGAAGACGGAACACTCTCTTTGATCTCCTTTGTAAGTTGATCATTAGTATCTGCTAATTTCACGACAGCTCCGTCAAGATCTTCGATTTGTCTTTTAACCGTTTCGTATTCGGTGCTGTCTCCCTTCTTGCCGCCTCTCTTCTTTGTCTCCACTTTCGTTCGGAAATCTTCCACGGTCATCTTAAGAACGTTCAGTTTCTGCGCATCTGATGCAAGCCTCTCCAACAGCTTTCTTCGTTTGCCATCTTGAGTTCTGTCTTTTATGCTTTTCAACATGTGAAGCTTGTCAACAACCAATTCCTTTTCCGCCTCTAATTCTGATGAGGTGTTCATACATCTTCCTGAATTATTGTCTGACTCATGGCATGTAACAATGTCCTCGGTTGGATCAGAATTCCTTTTCAATGGTACGCGAACCATCAAACCGTCGTCAAAGCAATCATGTTCAGCAGTTTCCCATAATTCAAGCATACCATCATCAGTTCCGCTATTCTTTCTCCTGCAATTCTTAGAAGCTGGATTGTCTGATATCTGATCGAGAGGAATATCTTTCATCAGCGATCCATTTTCGGACTTCGTTCTCCATGTGTTGAGATTAAACATGTTCTCATCCTTGAGTACCTTCTCTACTTTTCTATAGTCTTTACCTGAATTGGCTTTAGACGATAGATTTTCTTCCTTCACACGCCTTTCAACTGCTCTAATCCTTGCCTTCAAACCTACCAAATCTGAAACGCCATCCGGTATCTTGTTTTCTATTACACCGGGATCAATATTTTCTACTGCAACCTGGAAAGATTCATGACAAACAAGAATAAGTAGAATACACAATCTTCATATGCTCATTCAACACGACAAGAGGAAGAGGAAAACCAAAGTATTTAATAACAGAATACTACCTTTTGTTCTTGTTTGCATCCAGCAGACGCTTTATTTGTTAGAAAAACAGTATCCTCTAAAGAAGCAAAATCCTCTTCCAAAGAACGAATGACCGGAACATAAGTAGACAAATGACCCTTCAGACCTCCAACTTCACTTTCCAGAAAACCGACTTTTTCTGTCATTTTTTCAATCTCCAAGCTCTTTGCAGCACTCTCATCTTGAAGCCTCGTGCAAACCCCGGTAAGCTCATTCACCTTATTTTCCAACAATGCTTCACTGATGGATGATATCTGAAGATCAAAGTAGAATGTAGCAGCCTCGGCCTCCCAAAGTTGAAATTCATTTGTTTTATCCATCAGCTCTGAACTCAATGTTTTTTCTCTAGCCTTCTGTTGTTCCACTTCTTGGTGTAATAATCTCATCTCTGACAGGACACTTCTATTTGCTTCATTGAGGAGTTCAATTTCTTTTTTGTGATTCATGCAACCTTCTGATAGTTCAAGAATCTGCTTTTCAAGATTTTCATTGATCAAGCTTGATTCTTGTTGCTCCGTTTTCAGTTTTTCGATGTTTCTGCAAAACTCCGCGTTCAACATTTCTACGGCCTTTAGCCTTTCCTCTTTTTCAAACAGTTCTGTTTTCTTCTTCATAAGAAGATTCTCTGAACTTTGAACTTGATGACTTAAGTCGTCATTTGCATTTTTGGCTTCTCGCAGATCTTCATCCATAGCCTCAACTGTCTCTTTCAGAAAAACATTCTCTGCTTCTTTCGCCTCAAACTGTACTCTTAACAGACCAAGCTCCTGCTTGAGGTTGTTGTTCATGCTGTGAAGATCGGTCAGATGCTCGGAAAGCTCTTTTTGTTCTAAGACCTTCTCAATGAAAAAGCTCTCATAAACCAAACTAAGGCTTTTTAGATTCAGTGCTTCATGGAACATAGCACTGTTTTCATCCTCAACCGCAGACTTCGCATCTTTGAGTTCTGAAACACTCTTGATCAGCGAATTTTTCTCTTCATGCACCTTACGATTTTCTTCCTGAAAGATAAGATTTGTTTTCTGCAAATCTACCGATTTCATACGAAGAGCCTCCATTTCAGATTTCAACGTGTTCTCCCTTTCTTCTCCCTCGGTCAGCTCAGACTTCAATTGCTCATTCATCTCCAGTAGTTCATGCTTAACTTTCTGCAACATCACATTCTTCTCACTTGTGTTCTCGAGCTCCTGCTCAAGGATCATTTTCTTGGAATCCAGTTCTTTTCCCTCAGATTCTTGCTGCGAAAGTACCGTCACGAGGACCAAATTCTCTACAAACAGTTGCAGTCTCTCTTCCTGAGTTTTCTCAAGAGAACCTTTCAAACCTTCGATATTGTTCAAAATATATGACACGGAAATTTCCTCTTGTTTGAAACCTCTGTTGTGTCTCCTATCTGGATCAACCTGAAGAGCGCCAAACACTTGATGAATCCCAATTTTGAATTTCCTAATTTCTTCGAGCAAGAACTCTACCTCCATCTGTTGCATAAGGTTTTCACCCTCCAACTCGGAAATAACTTTCTCAGAAAACTTCGATGCCTCGACATGTTTTTGACATTCAAATAATAAGCCCATGTTCTTCTGCTCCAAGTCTTCCATACATTTTTGCAAAATAAACATCTCAACTTGAGCATTTACAGCTTTATCAAGTTCTTGTTCAAATTCTACCTTCCCCATCTGTCGCTCTTCTTGTAGCCGAAGAACAAGATTCTCCAAATTCGCCAATCGGGATTCACTCGAATGTTTATGATTAGCATGCTTTGCTTTTTGTGCCGAAAGCAAAGCGTGAAGTTCTTCTACTTGATTATCTTTGCTTTCTTTGTCTTTCTCCATGTAAGAATACTTTTCCTCGAGTTTCGTAAACCTTTTTTCAAGGTTACTTAATTTCTCTTCGACGCTCTCCAATTGCGATACCAGAACGGTCCTTTCCTTAAGAAGATTACACTTCTCGTTATTCAGCAGATTGCAGAATTCTTCCAAGCTACTTGATTTAGCCCTTAAACCTTCAAGCTCAATCTTTGAATCAGAGAGGGAATTTTCCAGCAAGGCATTCTTCTCCATTAACTTCTGCATACTTTCGGTTACAATTTGCAACTGTGACAATAAAGCCGATTTCTCACCAACAAGACCGGATTTTTCTTCCTTCAGAACGTGACACGACTCTTGAAATTTCTTCACTGTATCTCTTAGTTCATTTACCTCATCATTCAAACTTGATAGGGAACATTGCATAACGGCTTTTTCATTCAAAAGTTTATCCATATCCTTTGACTTTTCACGAAGAGCTTCTTTCTCGTCTTGTTCGACTCTGCATACCTCCTTTAGTTTTGAGTTCTCCTTTTGTAAATCCATCACAGATGCCGCAAAACATTTCGGATCCAAACCCACAGACTCTAGATCTTCCAATATAGCCCGGTATCGATTATTCAAGCCATGGATCTCGTCCTTTATTTGACGAGATTCATGTAGGAGGTGATTGCTTTCTTCAACTTTCACAACAAATCCCCTTTCCAGATTCTCTTTGATTTCTTTCAACTTCGAAATTTCCATTTGCTGATCTTTTACGGTTCCGGTGGCTGCGAAGTTAAGCACATGCAAAGTCTTGTTTTCTTCCACAATATGTTGCATTTCTTCCTTAAAACCTTTTTTCGAAAGTTCCAAGTCCTCCAACAGCTGAAGCCCGTGTTTAAGCTCCAAGGCAAGAGATCTTTGCTCGTCTTGTGACTGAGAGTACGATTTTTGCAGAGAATGCAGAGTCGACTCAATTTGAAGAAAGCGAGAATGCTCTTCCTGCATCAGAGTCTGCATCCTCTCAAACTCATTATGTTTCTCTAAAAGCTCTCGATCTTTTATAGAAATCTTCTGCACTAGATTGTCAGCCTCTAGCTGAAGAGATTGATTCGATTTCTCCAAAGTATCACAGTTTTTTTCCGCAGTCTTTAGTTTTTCAGTTCCTAGATCGATTTCTCTACTCAGCCGTTCAGAAGTTTCATGAGCATGCAAAATTTCACCCTCCATCGAAGATAATTTCTCCAAGCATTGCTTGTACAGGAAAGCTACAGCTTCTTTCTCTTCGTTCAGTTTGGTAACCTTTTCCCTCAACGCTTTAACTTCAGACTCCGCTCTTTCAATTTGCTCGGTTAGGATCCTTGAATTCTCCTCGGCAAGGTTAATTTTAGACTCCAAAACCAATATCTTTTCAAGAGATTTTTCATACTGAAGACGGCCAGCATCCTTCTCAGCTTCCAGCCTGGCAAGTTCTTCCTTGAGAGTTTTAGATTCGGTTTCGGCTTTAGCAGCCCTCTCATCATGCCCCTTTGCTTCCAGCTGAGCCGAAGATAACATAGCCTCCAGACTGGCTATCCTTTC